GTGTAGATCATATAATTTATTGATGCGGCTGAGATTTTCTACTTGTGGATTTTTCATGGAGCAGGGAGTGGGGCTGACCTCCTCTGGCTGCGGGTTTGGGAAAACATCATAAACATGGTACACACTGGTTTTCAATACAAACCAAACACAAAGACTTAACATAACCTACTATTATTACAAAGCAATCTATATACTGGTCATTTAGTAAAACAGCACCTTTTGTCTTCTTAGCTGCTTACTTTCAGTCACATTTTGCCTTTTAAAAACTAAAAATACCTGGAATATTGTTTGGTGTGCAATCTCACTGCTTGGTTTAAAAATGAATAGGTTCTTTTTCAAACAGTAGAGAAGAAAAATGTGTAATCATCCCAACTGTCTGTAGTCTTCATGTTGTATGAGTGTGCCACCTTGTGGAGATTACCAAGCATTACCGAGACAGTGGACCTTCAATCAAAACTGGACCTTCAATCAAAGGAGAAACATTAATGATACTTAATGACAAATTTCACTATTATTTGAAATACCTTCTTTTTTTTTCTTCTTTTTTTTAAAGAGCTCAGTTTGTGTATACTGCTGTTGAGCAGATGTTCTAACTTGTTGCCAGAATAGTTGGTGTGTAAGTGTGTCAGGTGACACGACATGGATATAACTTCAAAGTTTCCGCTGTTCCCACCTGTTCCCTGTTCCTTCTTCAATGACGCCATGCCTCAGGGCCACTTCTGTCAACGCAATAAGATTGAAGAGTAATTATTTGTCACCAGCTGAATGTTGGAGACACAGTGAAATTATTATGGTCATTCACCTGCTTCAGTCCTCCACCAGTTTTCCCTCAGATGTTTGTGCTTGTTTGACAAGTGTGAACCGCATCTGAAGCGCTCTTTGTTTGTTTTTGTTTTTGTTGTTGTTGTTTTATTTATTTGTTTTGTAATTTCTGAATTTGATTTTCAGATGTAAATGACTGTGAAAAACAGCCTTGTAAGAATGGAGGGCAATGCCGAGATCTGGATGGAGACTACTCCTGCCAGTGCCCCTCACCGTATGTTGGAAAGCAGTGCCAGCTACGTACGTGCACCACCATTAGACACACACATTTCAAACACGGACAGCCTGTTGTTACTCGCTTTGCCTCAACATTTTTTAAAGAACTTAAAGACTGATGAGATATCCTTGTAAGCGTGGCTCACTCAAGCATGAGAAAAAGATCTAAAGCGTGGCAAGAGTAACAAAAAATCCCTCCATCTCATACCCCAGGGTGTGTTTCTCTGCTGGGGATGGAGGGAGGAGCAATCGTGGAGTCCCAGATTTCTGCTTCCTCTGTGCACTATGGCATTCTGGGTCTTCAGCGCTGGGGCCCAGAGTTGGCTCGACTGAACAACCAAGGCATCGTCAACGCCTGGACGTCAGCCGCACACGACAAGAACCCCTGGATCGAGGTGAGAGAAGTGAATGCTTTTGACGAGACTGACCAGTGCATGACCTGTCCAGATGCTCACTGACCCATGGCGTTTTGGTTACAACAGATTAATATGCAGAAGATTATGCGTCTGACGGGCATCATCACTCAGGGTGCCAGTCGCCTGGGCACAGCTGAGTACATCAAAGCCTTCAAGGTGGCAAGCAGCCTTGATGGAAACTCCTACATCACTTACAAAGTGGATGGCCAGCAGAGGGATAAGGTAGACACAACTTTGTACTACATATGTTATTTTCTATTGTGTTTAAAGTGGACCTGTTAAGCTTTTTCTCATTTTCTAACACATAGATACTCTTACAGTGGTGGATGTCGATATTAAGGTGTTAAACAATCTAGAACAATGAGATGAGGTGTAGAAGTAATCCCAATGAGCCAGATTTTTTTTTCAACTCATGCCTCTCCCTGATGTTTATTTAGAGCTGTGTTCCTGAGATGACAGATGATATCTGCTCTCACTGACAAGCTCCACCCACCTCTTGTTTGAACCCTCTGTTTGTAAGAGGCAGCCAATCAAAAAAAAGCTGAAGGGTAGGCAGCCCAGACCGCCTTGTTGCACCAAAGTCCAGTGCAGGACAAATAAGGATTATTCTCTTTGTCTTCAAACTTCACAACTATATACTACCCTTGGGGGACCTGGGTATCTAGGGTAGCTAAGCATTTGACCTTGACCTTCAAAATCAACAAGATCATAGTTGATCTTGAAAAGAATTTAAAGAAACCATATTGAGTAATCTATCATATGAAAGGGCATAGAGAGAGCTATAAAACACACCGTGACGCCATTACAGGCTGACATCATCATGTTGTAATAAAAACATCATAAAACAGTTTTAGTATAGCCCTTGCCCTTTGGTGGGAGTTAGTTGTGCTCTCTGAGTGTTCTTGTTGACTTTGTTTATTCAGTTTGCTCACCTGTGTTTGTTTGCTGCAGGTTTTTGTGGGCAACATAGATAACGACCGCACAAAGACAAACCTTTTTGACGTTCCTATCGTGGCCCAGTACATCCGCATCATCCCCGTGGTTTGTCGCAGGGCCTGCACGCTGCGCATGGAGCTGCTGGGCTGTGAACTTCACGGTAAACACAATAAACTTCCAGCACAGCCGTAACACTTACAGCAAGGTCAGCGAGCAAAAGCAGTTAGATAAAAAAGATAGGACAATAATGAAAAAGGACAGGTGGTGTACGCTAAGTCGAAGTCAGGTCACAGCCTCTGTGAACCCTTAACCTAAAGTGCATAACTCCTCGTAGCATCGTTAGTGTGTCTTGTGCTACTGTGTTGATGTCTTCTTACTGTGGTCTTGCTGACAGGTGAAATGACAGACTTTTGAAATTTAATTGCACCACATCTAGCCTAGTTTGACCACATAGAAGTTATCCACTATAGCTCTGTGGGTACAGTCCTTATTATGAAACAACAAAAGAAGCCATTTCAAGCACTCAAGAATAAAAACACTGCCGGCTGTGTTTTTGTCCATCGTCAGCTTTTGTCTTATTTGATCTTAATGCTAAAAGGTTTAAAGAAAAACAGCTCTGTGTGCTATGTTGCATGCTTTCTTCTGCATTGTGTGGCTCTTCTGTTTTTTTCCTTTCACTCGGTCACTGGTGGGTGTTTGTGATTGTAATCAGTCACTCGCTTTGTGAATGTTCGTCATTCTTAAAATGTTGGGTGAAGTTGATTCTTCTTTTCTGTCGGGTGATTTCAATTTTTCCCCTCTTTTCTCTTTCTGTCGCTTTGGCTTCCCCCTCCCTCCGTCTGTCCGTCTGCCTTTTGATTCACAGTTTATTCAAACATGGCAGGTTGCTCAGAGCCTCTTGGTATGAAGTCTCGGTTCATCTCAGACGGGCAGCTTTCAGCCTCCAGCTCTTACCGCACGTGGGGCATTGATACTTTCACGTGGCACCCTCAGTTTGCCCGGCTGGATAAGGTGGGGAAGACTAATGCATGGTCTCCTGCTTACAACAACCGCTCAGAGTGGATCCAGGTGAGGGAAACCGCAGCAGTCACCTTTTTTAAAAATCTTGTTTTCTTTGAAGTTACTAGTTGGTAATGCCATTTTTTTCCTGCTCCTTCCCCAGGTTGATCTAGAGAAGACAAAGCGCCTCACGGGCATCATCACACAGGGTGCAAAGGACTTTGGAGTAGTGCAGTTTGTATCAGTGTTTAAAGTTGCTTACAGCAATGATGGGGAGTCCTGGAGTACAGTGAAGGAGAACACCGGAAATGATAAGGTCAGACGTATGTGAATACCTGAAATGCCATTTCCTCTTTTTTTTTCCATATATGTCAAAGCTAAGTTAAAAATAAGGTAAGATATACTTTATTATCTCAAAAGTTGAGAAATTGCTGTGTTGCAGCATCCAAAACATTAAACAAAATGTAATAAAATACAATATGACAAAACAATATTTTGATTCAGCAAGGTAGAAAAACAGGAGCAGTATTAAAAAACCTACACAAAATCATAGAAAATTCCACTTCACCTCCACTTCAGAAAAAAATTGTAATCTAACAAACAAAACACACACTCACACACCCACGCATGCACAAAAACAGTCACTGACACGTGTAAATGGGAGTAAGGTGTGTTCAAAACAATGTGTTTTCATTTAACAGTAACCTTAACATGTTTTTGCAGCTCTTCCAGGGAAACACTGACAACAACACCCATAAGAAGAATGTTTTTGAGCCTCCGGTCTATGCTCGATATGTCCGAGTCATCCCCTGGGAATGGCACGAGCGCATCACTCTGCGCATGGAGCTGTTGGGCTGCGATGATTAGAAACTAGTCAATAACCATTTATCAGCATCCTCAGATGCTCCGTCTGCTCGCACCACAGCGGAGGACGGATCGCAAACAGAATCATTTGCTTTGTTTTTTACTCCATGGGAATCATATTTGCTGAATAGCTTGGACTTTAACACTTGTAGCACTTTGACTGTAGCAACCCCCCCCCCCTAATGTTTACATTGCTAAAAGTTTGTTTGATGCTGCAACATTGAACTGCTCACAGATCCCTCACAGATTGATCATTTGTCCTTTAGGAGCTTTTTTTTGCACAGATCTTCTCTTAGTCTGTCTAAGAATGCAAGCCCTGAGATTTTCCCGGTGTAATACAGAGTGTATTTATGGCATTTTCAACCACACAGGACAGGAACGCTTGTCCGGAGCGGGAAAATGATAACTTTCACATTTTGACTCCACGGATGAGTAGGGTTTTCTGTTTGTTTGTTTTGGGGGGGGTTAAACACATTTTGACACCTTTTTGCTTTGTTCCTAAATTTAATTTCATGACCAACTAATTCTTTTTACAAAAAATGTGAAATATGTAGAAAACAGCAACGTTTTGCATTGCTTTTTTAATTCACTGTTGGTTAACATTATTAAATGTTTAAAAAAAAAACAACCTTTCTACACTTTGTGTATCTTTTCAGCGGAGACACAAAAATCCATTTTTGAGCTAATGCCCATGTTAGAGTAGATGCTCACAGCTGATTTAAGCATGAGCTGACTTGTTAGCAGAGTCACGTACACGGGGTACAAAATGAAGGCGTAGATAAAGAAGACAAAAGTGAGCATTCTTTTGTACAACTCAGCATTTAAAAGGAGATAAAACTTAAAAGAAGGTGCAGTTTTTGAGCAGCCTGGCGTTGGCTGCGTTCCTCTTTGTTTCGCAAAGAACAAACTGTTCTAACCACACAAAACATGATGTGAGTCTTCATGCTCAGCCTGGTGATGGTGAAATTCAAGCTAAGGAATTCAGGAAATCATTTCTTAAACACTAATATACAAAAACTCATCCTTTAACTTACTATTATGTTTGCAATTTTATGTCCTTTTTATAAGGTTTCAATGTGATTCCACTTTTATAGCAGTTTTATTTTACTCTCACATCCAATGGGAATCTCTACCAAACAGTGGAAACATTGTGGACGTCAAATTTGAGTGAGTGACACGCAGTACAAAAGTACAGGAATCACTCTTAAACTGTTTTCTAACATCCAAATTAGGTCAAACAGCCTGTTTATGTAATAAATGAATACATGATACAGCAATAAGAAAGAGACGTGGTAAAAATGGCATCCATGGGAGAGTTCAAAGAGAAAACCACTGCTGACTCTAGAGAACACAATGGCTCGTCTTACATGTGCCAAAAAACATCTTGATGACTTTGGGGAAACTATTCTGTGAACTGACAAGACAAAAGCTGAACTTTTAGGAAGTTTTGAGTCTGTTACATCTGCGTAAAACTAACAGCATTTCATAAAAAGAACTTCATAGCAACAGTGAAACATGGTGGTGGTAGTGTGATGGTCTGCGGATGTTTTGGTGCTTTCCTGAAGTGCTAGCACACTTGGATGTTCCAAAACACACCAGCAAGTTCATCTCTGAATGGCTCAAAAAATAAAAAATTGAAAGTGGCATAATTAAAATCTGGACTTTGATCTGATACTTAACACACCACTCGTGCTTGAAAACCCTCCAGTATGTCTGAATAAAACAATTCTGTAATAAAGAGTGTGCCAAACTCCTCCACAGCAAGAGAGACTCGTTGCCGGTTATCGCAAACGCTTGAATGCAGTTCTTGCAGAAGACTTTAGCTTGCTCTTTACACCAGTAATTACACCTTGTTAGCCCATAAGCTCACAATCCTGGCATGTTTGGCCTCTGGCAACATCTTTCATCTCTGTAAAATAAAAGCAGTGGAGGTCAAAGCATCTCTAACACATGATACTTCTTCACTGTTTGTGTCTGCTGTATGTAACTGTGTAGGTCATGTTTTCCACACCATAAAAGGAGCTCTTTTTAAAGATTACGGTGTTTCTAGTAAATGCTGCTGCCCTCCATAACAAGTATCTGCTTTCAAAGAGTTTTCCTCCACAAACAGCCGCTCAGCGATCCCATGTGCCGTTCCTGTTGAAGTGTATTACTGTGGTGACCTTAAAAAAAGACAAAAATATTTTTGTGTATTTTAATGTCTTTATAGAGCCTCCACAAAAACGTTACCCAATAGTAGAATAATATGCGTAACATAAAAGGCTAAATTTCCATCAAAATCACGATGATCTTTAACTTTCCTTTAAAGCTATAAACCACTGTAACTGCGCTTACTTTGCGGGGGTGGGGGTAATTTCTGTAGGTCTTCTTGAACCGCAGATGCCCTACCTACCACAGCTTGCACAAAGAGACACACACGGGGATGTTTCCAGCAGCTTGATGACTGTGCTTAAGAATCAGAGCAGCGGTACAACCCGACACTCCTCGGGGAGAAGGTCAGGACATTCTTCATCATTATTAACTGGCCCCATATAGCTGCACCTGTTTTTTTATCATCGACAGAGACCGAGGGGAAGCTAAATGCGGTATTAATATCCTGGGAATATTTTGATCACTTTGCCTCCAGCTCTCCAACATCAGACCTTTCACACGAAGTGGAAAAACCACGCAGACAATTTCGCGGTAAGTGGGAAAGAAAGCCATCTAATAATAATTATTATTATTATAACAACTGTACGTCAGATATAATTTGTTAGCTTTAACCTCCTGCATTTTTAATTTCTCTTTGATATTTGGGCTGATTGGGACCTGATGAATGTAAAAACAAAGAATTACCAGATTTTTTTTTACGAGAAAACTACTGTGACGAACATTAATGGCTATTGTTAAATCTAAACACTGAAGTCACTTTAAGTGACAGTCCCACAGTGTGAAAACGCATTTTCCCTGTATAAACACAGCAAACTATATACAGTGAGGTCATTACATTTGGCACACCTGCTAAAATTGTATCGTGCTTTCCTTTACTGCTGCTGCTTTATTATAACATCCAGTGTTCACAATACAGCAAGCAGAGTCTTCATTTTTTTTTTAAAAAACCCTCGAGAACAAATACTTTTTTGTCCTCCTCCCGGTCAGCTCCATATTCAACATCTTTTGCCGACTATATCCACTATCCCGACTCTGCACGTGCCCTAACCACCTCAGCCTTGCCTCTCCTCGTCTCCAAGCTGCTCAGTCTGAGCCGCTCCTCTGCTGAACTCATTTCTGATCTTGTCCATCCTGCTCCATGACCTTTAATGATTAATTAGCTAATATTTTTTCTCTTCGCAGGTTTGAGGATTGTGCAGACACTGATGATGATGATTTGGTGCTTCCAGACTGTATTGTTGTTCATAGCTCACCTGGTTCTCTCAGACTGGGCCCCGGCTGCCCCCCCAACCCAAAACAGCTTCTTCTACAGTGACTACCTCAATGAAAGCGGCAACAACGAACGTATGCACATTATTGCTCAGACCCTAACCTTTTAATATAAAATCAGTATGATAAGTTAAATCTGTATTTATTCTGCAGTTCATTTTATTGGTATGAAACTCTACGTGGACTCTGCTGAGCAATCAGTGCTTTCGGTCAGAGGGGGTAATGCGACCCTACAATGCAGATTTTGGTATGAGCCTGCGCCGAGCTCACCAAGGGAGGTCCGGGTCAAGTGGTCTTGGCTGCCCGCCGCTGGGGGACAGGAGACTGATGTGATCGTGGCTTTCGGGACTCGATTCCGAAGTTTTGGAGATTTCAGGTTAAAGATATGATCAACTGAATACGATAACCTGATCGCTGACTGTTTGACCATGTTTTTCTTTAAACTATTAACATGCACTGTCTGTCGGGCAGGGGTCGTGTGCAGCTCCGACAGGATTTCCCAGGAGATGCTGCACTTGTGTTGAATAAACTCTGGCTGAATGATACAGGTCGCTATCGATGTACTGTGGTGGATGGACTGGAGGACCAAAGCGCAGTGGTTCACCTAGAGCTACCAGGTACTGCATTTACACCTTCAGCTATCCTGTTTGCTTCCGTGAATGAAAGCTGCGACATGTAGAGTCTAGATCAGCGGTCCCCAAACTTTTTTGCACCACGGACCAGTTTAAGTCCGACAATATTTTCACGGACTGGTCATTAAGGTGTCGCGGAGAAATTCAACAAAATAAAACCAGTACCAAAAAGAAGATGATTTATTCATAACACAAGGGAAAATTCCCAGAGAAACAGAGTTAACGATAAAAACGTCGGGGAAAAAAAACCCTCTGACAAGCTAAGAACCGATAAAAACCCTGAAAACCAGAAATTTCACATCCGAGCCTCATACGGCCCGTTACCAAACGACTTACGGACCGGTAGCGGTCTGTGGCCCGGGGGTTGGGGACCGCTGGTGTAGATATCCATTATAAAAGCAGACTGCTTACATTTGCAAATAAATAATCAATTTAAAAAAAAAAAAAGAAAAAGAAAAAAAAACCCTGCAAACAACTGACAAACATTTTACTTTCCAAATTGAGTTGCCATAGAAAACCACACAATTAACTTTAACCACTCATCTGTTTGGTTCAGCTGACCCAGTAGCCTGTGATTTCCCACTGTTGCAGATCAAAGTGTTCCCTTTTGTAGTTTGTAGTAAGAGCAGATGATTGCAAACCTACTTACTGGAATTTAAAAAACAAAACAAAACAACAACACAACAACAACAACAAAAACCCCACAAGCCAGTGGTAGTATCACCTGGTAAGCAAAGTAGTAACAATAGATGAAATAACAATAGCAGTGAAAGCTTGACACACTTTGAAGTCCACATAGATATTCTGATGTCTGATTGAATCTTCCACCCAGGTGTGGTGTTTCCCTACCAACACCCTCATGGTCGTTACCATCTGAGCTTCCTGGGAGCCCAGCAAGCCTGTAAGGAGCAGGACTCGACAGTGGCCACCATCACACAGCTCTTCCAGTGTTGGAAAGAGGGAATGAACTGGTGCAATGCCGGTTGGCTAGCTGATGGGACAGTCCAGTATCCGATCACGCAGTCCAGGGAGCCCTGCGGGGGAGCCCGCCTTGCCCCGGGTGTCCGCCGCTACGATAGACTTCACCTCTACCCTAATCACTACGATGTCTTCTGTTTCTCCTCTTTGCTCCAAGGTGAGGCGAAGCAGAAGGTGATGCGAGGTCAACAAGGCCACAGAGAAGCTAAAGTGATATTGAGTGGCCATTTCCTGATGTGTAATTGTGTTTTCCTTACTGTGACATGTCAAGATGCCCACACTGACAAAGATTAGCAGATCCATTACTTAGCAGTTTCACACCCTCATTTCTGAAGAGCACAGTGGCACAGATTCCCATTATCCCTCTCTTTAAAGGTGCTAAGACTCGTTTCTTGAGTCCCCATTTATTTATACAACCACTGTATGAATAAATGACCTAACTGAATATTCTAATTCATCATAATTAATTTTACAGAAACTCAAGTACAAATACACATTAGCATTTATGGGTGATAAACCGCAGTTAAATAGCAGTCTGAAACACGTCTGTGCGGCTAACTGTCAAAATAAATGTGTTTTATTCTAAGGGAGAGTCTACTACCTTCAGTCCTCTCACAAGATGAACCTGACTGAAGCTCAGCATGCATGTCAGGAGGACGGAGCAGAGATTGCCAAAGTTGGACAGCTGTATTCTGCGTGGAAGTTCACGGGGCTTGACCGCTGTGATGCCGGCTGGCTGGCCGATGGAAGCGTTCGCTATCCCATCACCAGACCTCGAAGTAACTGTGGTCCGTCTGAGCCAGGGGTACGCAGCTTTGGTTTCCCACCTCCACAGCACAAGCATGGAGTCTACTGCTACAAGTTAGATACTGAAAGCGTGTAGATCTCCACCCATCCTTGGTGGGCCATAACATTTAAATATTTTTTAAAATTGTTATTATAGCCAACAGGATGCTTAACACTGTAGACGAGTGCACTTCTGCAGTCTGCAAAACATCTACAGGTTCACAAGATGAACAGAAGAAACTTTAATGCTACAACATTTAAAAAAAAAAGAAAAAAAGAAAGAATCTAAACTCATATACATTTCTTTCCATGTGAGCTACTACAGATTTTACTTATAATTACCACTGAAATTATTCAAGTAGAATAAAACTACTTTCAGCTGTTTCTTCATTAACAAGGGCTCACCACATCAGCTAGCACTGCACATTTGATTTAGCAGTTTTTGGTAGAGCTTTTTCACTTGTTGGATCAATATGTAAACCACTACGCTATGGAGCTTTAAATACTCCAACAGAATAGTAAAAAGAAAATCCCTTGTTATATTTGACACGAAGATTCAGAGCTCAAATACTAGCATTCCTGTACTTTTTAAACATTTTTTTTTCCTTTCACTTTTACTATAGCTGAGAGACAGCAGGAATATAAAAGATTGGAAAACCTGGGGAGAAGGAAAATAACATTCAACAAAGTTGCTGTCTGATTTCCTCTTTCATACATTAACGTAAAGCATTTACTGTGATGTCTCACCAAGTTGTACTTACATCGTCTGAAGCACATGACAATCAACTCAAAATCTAGCAAAGGAGCCGGCTAGTTGATTTTTTTAAATGGAAATATATATCCTATTTATTACAAATAAAGATCCTCATACAGAACATCTGGTTTTGTCTCTCTGCTGCTGCTCAGTGTTTGAATGTATAACTCAAGCATGCCACCTGTCCTCAACAAATAAGTCTGTTAATTGTTAAACTAAAAAAAAAAAAAGTGTTTGAATTCAACTATCCTGCTAATTCGCACACATTTATATTAAATACTGAAATGTTTGAAATAATTGTCATGTTGTAAGTTTGCATTTGAGATGCAGTAGCCTGGCACAAAGACACAAAACACTCCAGGCTTTGTCCACAGTGAAAAAGAAAACATATCACTTCCACTTCTTTAAGTAATTCATGTGCAATCAAAATAAATAAATCTGTATTTATATATAAGACGGTATGCTCTTCTCTATGTAAATTGAGCTTCAAGAAGAAGATGCTCGATTTTCATCCTGACCCCTGCCTTTTTCTGAGGAGCCAACTTCTTAAACACTTTCGTGAGGGTCATAAAGTAATACTCATCGCAGTCTTGTGGTTTTGGAGTGTCTGTCTGTACTCCTTTGTGACATTTAGAGGAGTCCATCTCTGTACTCCTCGTCATTTTCCTCCCAGTGTCACATTTGCCTGATCTGGTGAAACTGTGAGACACAGAATGGCCGCCGCTGGCTCTGTGGCTGTTTTGGCCCTCTGAATCTGAGACGATAGTTATGCCGTTACTGTTAACATCACTCTCCTGTAAAGATAAAACATTTTTTAAACCAATTAAAATCTCTTGGATGACTTTCCTTTTTGTTGGTTTGATGCTCAATTGGTAGAACTGGTTCCACATCAACAACGTTGAAAGAACACACTGAAACATTTGGAGCCATTAAGCAAATAGCTTAAATATGTGCAGGGTTCACATCTCGCCATAAGGATTGTGGTAATCAGTGGGACCTTCAACCGATGTTAGCATATTTAAATTTAGCAATGAAACAGAAGCAGCTGGTTGAAGGTAATGGGTATTACGTGACTGCTGCTTGTCTGATATATGGCTGGAAGTGCATGATTTTATTAATATAAATAGAATTAAAAGTCCGTAAAAATCTTAAAATGAAACCTATTCTCTCAACCCCCTCAACCCCAGTTATCATGAATGTTTAATACCAGAGACATCCACTCATTCTGGGCCATTTCTTTTTCCTTCAGAGAAGGGGAGTTGTGCCCCATCTATAAATTTCTTGGATGTCCCCCTGATGTTTTTAACAAATGCTGGTTTGCTTTGCTTGGACAAGCTGACCAACTGGAAGTGACTGAGTCTCTTTCTAAAGTGGCTACAGCTTTTCCACTAGACCACACACAAAGTATTTAATAAAACTATAGACATGCACACTAAATATTTAGGAACATTGTTAAGAGATGATGCATATCTTCTTTAACATAGAGCATGTGCAGCACTACACCATCACACCCTCACCATGTCATATGAAGGGCTCCCTCTGTCATTTTGGATTCTTTGTGCCAATTCAGCCTGTAGTTTGGATAATTTCCGGACCCTCCTCTGTTGTTGCTCACTGCAAAATGACAGATGACTGTGGAAAGTTTTCTTTCTTATCACTGTGGCTTTGCAGTACAAACAGTGGTAATGCGCCTGACTTCTGCACTGGAGTCTACATCTGTGGAAGGTGTATTCTGAAACAGAAAAGATGTAAACATCATGATTAGGAATGAGTTGGTTTAGCTGGAGCTTAAAGTTCTGAAACATACTTCCAGTTTCAAAGGCTTCCCTTCGATGGCTGTCCAAGTGGATCCTAAGACTGGGGCGGTTTGTGGGTTTGAAAATTTCAGGTGAACAAAACGGACAATGAAATTTTCCTGGAGAACAGCAAGTGTTGCATTTTTGCAGAGCAGGAATAGAAGATCCCTTCCGGATAGACACGTGAAACTGGAACAGATAATAAAGTCATTAATCCAAAAATATCAGATGCACGAAGAAGGGCAGCCAATAACAAGTCCTGATTTCTGCTGGAGGTACGACAGCAAGGAAGCTTAGTAGAAATGCAATTACTTGGAAACAGCAATGTGGAATTATAAAGTTTTAATTTGTGTTATTTAATGTGTCCAATGCAAAGGGAAAAAAATGTAATTCTGATTGCAGTTGAATCACTTTTAATGACTCTTAGACTAGGTTTGTCAGCAACTGCTAGCCTTTTTCAGAGTTAAACTTACTCCTTTGCATCTCTTTGTTTAAGAGATGCAAACTGTTTGTTTGCATTTTTCTTTTTTGACCTTGTTCAGGTCAAAAAAGAAAAATGCAAACAAACAGTTCCTGTGACTAATGACTAGCTTCATTGTTAGCCACCTGCTAGATAAGCTGAATGACACTTAGTTAGTTGCCAAATAGAAAACAGTCAACCTGCTATGAAGGCAAAAGACTTATAATCAATGCTGCCTAGAATAAAAATACTTACATTTAACTGCTTGGGACTGTCCATCTTTCTCACAGAGCTACCTGAGGCCTGCTCTTCTTCTTTGGGGAGCTCACTGCAGTTTTTCACCCTTTATATTGCTTTGCTGCCTCCCTCTGGTTTTGAAGTGTCTGTCTGTACACACGTTAACATTTTTGTACTCATTTTCGTCATCCTCACGTTCACCTGACCAGGGGAAGCGTCGGTGCTCTGAAATGATAGTTATTTTGTTACAGTCAAAACCTTTGATGTAACTCGCCTCTTAGTGTGATGCTCAGTTTGTAGTAACATGCAGGTAACATTATTCAGCATGCCCACATCTTTCTAAAGGCTTATAAACCAGCTTTGTCACCGACTGCTAACCATTTTTAGGGTTAAAGTTACTCTTTTGCTTCTCTTATGTTAAATACAAATATAAGCAAACAATTTCCACTGTTATGATTAGCCTATCTGATATGTTGCCTGTAAGCCAATTAGCTACCAGACAGAAGAGTTATCCTCCTATGAATATAAAAGGCTCATAATAACTGTTAGTTGCTAGCTAAAACAATATTTGCATTGAACTGTTGGTCACTGTCCGTCTTGCTCACAGAACTACCTGAAGCCTGTCATTTCTATGAATATAACACCAATTGGTTATCCTTTAAATTGCTTTACTGCCTCCTTCTGGTTCCTGTCAACAATAATTTGAGTCTTTTAATTGAATTTTACAAAACCTTTAACATTAATCACCCCCCCCTCCCCCCCTTACTAAGTCCAAAGCCTAAAGTACATGTGCAAACTTGATCTTAACTTGCACCAGTTCTGATGTAAAACTGTAACCACTGCTATCTATAAACGGTAAGTACAGTTATCAGTAAAGAAGTATGCACAAATCTTGAGTCACCGCTCTTTTCTTTATATTTTGCTAGAAAACTGCTAAATAAATGCAGCGATTTTTTTGAGTTTGTACAGTTCTAATGAACATGACAGTCAATATTTATTATGACCATCTTTATCCTTTGACACATCCTGAACTTTCTTAGACAGCTTCCTTCTTTAAATAGTCTTCAGGAATAGTTCTCCAGGCTTCTTGAAGGACATTCAAAGCTCTTCTTTGAATGTTTTGCCTTTTGTTGTGTTCTCTGTCAAATTTCTCCCACACTAAGGTTGAGGTCCAGGCTCTGTGGAGGCCAATCCATGACTGATAGTTTTCCACTGTGTGTTTTTCTATCTAGGTGAGCTTCCAATGCATTGAGAATGTGTTTGGGATTATTGTGATGCTAAAACAAATGCGATTCCCAGAAACTTTCCAAATGGTATTTCATGCTGGATTAAAATTTCACAGGACTTTTCTGTGCAGAACAGCAGTTGCTGAAATGAAGCCACAAACCCTCGTGTTTTACAGAGGCTGTAGGCACTCACCTCACTCCTGACCTCCTCTTTACCTGCCGATGATGACTTTGAAGCAAAAACCTTACATTTGGATTCATCACTCCATAAGACTTCTTGTCACTGATTTTTAGAACAGTTTTTATGTAACTTGGCATGCCTGTGCCTTTTCTCCCTGTTTCCTTCCTTGAGAATGGTTTCTCGACTACCACCCTTCCACTGTGAATATTTCTGATGATGCTTCAGTGAACAGTGTAGATGGAGCAGGTCTTGTCAGGTCTTTGGTGGATTTTGTTCCCCTGTTTTTTAATAACATGACTCTCGGATACTTTTCATCTGCTGTAGATAGTTTTACGTTTAAAGCGAAACTCTGAAAACATCATATTTTTGTTTCTGTTATATATAAACGGACAATTCTTTGGTTGAAATGGAGGCTTTTCGGTAAGCAATGAGAACCACAACCTTTAAATCCACCAGATGACAGTCATATGTTTTGGTTGTAATGTGGAGCTCAAGGATATATGTAGCATCTACTTATTTAAAACAAAGCATTTTAAATTCTTCTCAACATGGCATTCATGCCTTAATTTCACATGATCCCCCATCTGCATCACACAGCCAGGCAAGATAATAGATTTCCTTGATTTCCTGAACTCAGCGTGAATAACATGCAGAAAATTATTTTCAAAGGCAACTTAATTAAGCGTGAAGAGTTCTGGGTGGCAAAGCTTTGACCTCTGAAAATCTGAAATGAAATATTATGTGTGAACAGTGAGAAGAAAGCAGAAACGTCAGTGTACATTCACACACCCCTCGGTATCTTTCAGGTGTATGAGGCATTTGTGTTTGAGACAGTGCAATATTTGTTTTGACTGTGAGTCAGCATCTCGAGTATGGTTGGGATCATGTTGGGAAGTTCAATAACAAAAACTTCACCTAATAAAAACTATGTCCTGTCTAAAGTCTGGTACAGATAGAGTAAACAGCAGCATTAACAGTAAGGCAACATCATGTGAAATATTGTTTTTCCCTTTTAAGCAGCTTTAAGGTTGTCAGTATCATCTTGATCCTCGGCTCCCAGCTTTTCCCCTATTATCTTTTTTTCCAGGTATATCTTTAATATAATAATATAAAACTGTCATTCAACTATAAAACTTTATGGGTGATTCAGTCCCTATACAACCACAGTGAGAGCTAATGCAAATAATTCCTTGAAGTACATCCTAAGAAAGGCACAACCCCACCACTTGGAAAAGATGGTGAGCAAAGAGGAGCTAATCCCACACCTCGTCCTCCTGCCGCCCCTTGATTCCAGATAAGACACTTTGATCCTCAGGTGTCCCAACAGGTGTTGATTGTATCTCCGGTGTTTGATCCTTTGAGGAATTTCCTCTGCTTTGCCACACGGTGGAGTCAGTGTAATACAACACAAGGACTTTTGCAGACAAAATAAGCAACCCCAGTCATCTCATAAACTGCTCACATAGGAATTGAAAAGGAGAAAAGAAAAAAAAGGAGGAAATGATCGTTTTAGATCCCAGACAATCAGTGAATCAACAATCAGATATAAGTCATTAAATGCTAGACAGAAAATGACCTTCAGAGAGTGCCACCTTCTTACTGCTTTTCTTTGTGAAACTACTTTCTCTGTACACAAACATCCTTTTTATGAATCTCTCGTTAAATGGAAATAGGGCATCCTATTGTGAGTCATTTTATACAAATTGGTTTGTTTGTATAAAATGATCTAAAACCTGTTTTTCTGTTGAGTAACTGGTTCCCGAAACTGACCCGAAAGCAGAGCACTGTGTGTTTGGCAAGCTATGGCATCTGTGTTTTATTGGAAAGGAAAGAAACAAAGAGTGCAGTTTTACAGCCATGTGTAAAAATGCCTCTAAATAGAAACAAAACAAAGGCGGTGGATAAAATTTGACCAAATATGAGGCTGCCAAGTACACAAATGTTTGGTTTGTTGGCTTTACAATGTGGACTTTTAATAATCTACCTTGCATAACAAGTAATTCTTCACAAAAACACGCATTAGGTGGATTCATTCATTTTGTTCTCACATTAGAGCCAACAGCAGAATATGCAATATAGTTCCACTTCATGGTTCTAAGTAATGGCTTTATAGCAATTTTGTTTTAGGGGAAAAATATCCTGTTTCCAATACAGGTGCTAATTGCCTTGCAGGTCAGGTTACGGTAAATTGTAATTAGCCAACATTATACAGCAATCTGCCAATACAGCAATGTGTGAGAGATTTTACAGGACTCTGAAAACCTAAATATACACCATGCCTCAGTAGCTTGTAGAACCAGCTTCAACAGCAACAACTTGAAGTAATGGTTTTCTGTATAACTTTATCAGCCTTTCACATCACTGTGGAGGAATTATGGCCCACTCTTCTATACAACACTGCTCCACTTCATTGAAGTTTATTACCATTAGTTATGCATGCCTAAGTCTTGCCACAGTATTTCAGTCGAGCTGAAGTCTGGACTTATCATTTTCAGCCATTCTGTTGTAGATTTACTGCTGTGCTTGAGCTCAAGTCCTGTTGAACGACCCCGTTCTTTCCAACCTTTAGTTGTCACACAGATGCCCACATGGCCTACAGTTGAGTTTGTGGTCAGCTCAATGACTGGAAGGTGCCCAGGCCGTGTGGCAGAAAAACAAGCCCAAACCATCACCACACCACCACCATGTCTAGTTGGTATGAGGTGTTTGTGCTGATATGGCGTCTTGTTTTTTTGTTTTTTTCAAATATGCTACCGTGCATTATTACAGCCAAAGATCTGCACTCTGGTCTCATATGTCAAAAAGACATTGTTCCAGAAATCTTGTGGGTCATTGTCATGCAACTTTACCAGCTCTAGTGTCGTGTTCTTTTTAGAGAGAAGCGGCTTTTTCCTGGCAACCCATCCAAACAAACCAAACAAGTATTTTTAGTGAATTTAGATATTGAACTTGAACATTTAACATACAAACCAAGGGCCTGTATAGTGTGAGATGTAGAATTTGCCAGAATTTGTGTTTCTGTAAAGGCGCTCACACTTTCTTATCAGCTAATCAGTTAATTAAGTGCATTTGATTATCAGCACCTGGCTGCTACTTGTCCACCTAATTCCTGTGGAAGCAGCAAAGACGTACTTAGTGTCTTTTTCATGTAGAGCTGTTTTTCAGAGCACAATAATGATACAAAACTAACAAATATATTTAAGGTTCTAAACTTATGCATAATTTAACAATTATTATTTTACCTAATTTTTAGGTTAAAGGAGCATTTTTATATTGTGCTACATTTGCCTAGCAACATGAACTTTTGTTTCACTACAGGCTGCTTTTGTATACATGAGAGGACTGTAACACAGAAGTCACACAGCTAGAAGTGACTTCTTCAGTATTCTAGTTATCTATATTTTGTCAAGTAATACTGTGTAATACTCAGAGAAATTTTTTTATGACTTTTGGTGCAGATGTAGTCTCAGTATCAGAGGTGTTGATTATTTGACTGTTCACCTTGAAGAACACAATTACACCATAAAATGAAGGCTTTGTTGCTGATTCTTCTTCTTCAAGAAATTCATGAAACTCTCAGACTACAAGCTGCCAGAATATAGCTCTGTCAAACTATAAATATAAGTCTTACAAGCCTAACTGAATTCCACACTTGGCCACTTGCTCTTCATAGTTGAGGTTGTAAGGCCTAACACAGGCAATATTTTGGTGCAACCTCAGGAAACAGTGTCATAGAGTTGGTTGGGAAGTTTCAAAACAAAACAGAAAAAGGTCAGCAGCAGACTGGCCAAAGTAACACCACAGCAATGTGAGTGTGTAAAGACACACTCACATTGCACATTATACACACACACACACACACACACACACGCACACACACACACACATTAGAGGAACAAAAGCCGAAAACAACAGGAAACAGATTAAAGCTCATCT